GGCCCCGGAGTCCCCGCCGAGACCGGCCCAGGCCGGTGGGCGCGGGCGGGCGGCCCACAGGCCGAGGCCCGAGCCCGAAGAGAGAATGCCAACTCGAGCCTTTGTGGTAGCCCTTTAGTTTTTGAGAAGCTACTACCCTCGCTGCTGCGTCCACCACGCCACACAACACATCTGCGTGCACCCTCACCACAGGGCGACGCGCGGCGAACGAAAATTACAAGCACACACCCGACACACGCTCCGGAGTAAGCACCCCACAAACTCGGGTTCAGCACCTTAAACTCGCGCGCACAACAGATTATCCACACGACCAAGTAAATACACGCACATCACACGGGAAGCACACGCGCAGACTACTACCACACGCGACACGTTAAATTTGGCGCACACAACACGGCGCGCGCACAGCACAGCCTCACGCTGAACGCAGGATCAGAGCTCTTTTCAAAACACAGGCTGAACAGCTTCGCATTCCCAACATTTTCAAAAGCAAAAAGGGCGGGGTGGAGACTGGGAGAAGGAATTTTCCTCCCAGGAAGTCCACCTAGACCAGGTGGCCATGGGCTTGGGGTTTGGGAACAGCCCAGACAGTGCTCCCCTTCCTCCCATACCTGGAGAAGGGGCCAGGGGCACCCCTTTGGATTGCTTTTTCGATTTATAAGTGGGAATGGCCTCCACCTTTGCTTCCGTCTGGTCCCAGGTCTATCGGGAAGTGACAGTGACGGCCAGGTTCGGCCAGGGCTACTTACTAGTCCACTCCTTGGGGCCCCAGCAAAGAATTTGCAAAAGATGCAGGGCCATGAGTGGAAAAAAAAAAAAAAAAGGCCAGGAGACAGATGATTGTGACGGTCACATTCCAAGCTGCTCCAGACAAAGTCGGCGCCGGGAGGCAGCCTCCCAACCCTGCAGCCCTAGCTAGCTCTTGGAATCAGAACCTCCCATCAAGTTCAGAGGCACAGGGAGAGATGCTGCAAGCAGTGCTTCCAAACTGCAGCCCTTCACTTCGTGGCACCCAGCACGCCCAGCCTAGACTTCACCTTCCTCTTCTTCACTTCTCACGGGAGTCACTCCCTCCCACCCAAATCGCCCGCCATTCCCCCTCCACCATCAGAGCCCTCTCCCCAGGTTGGAAGGTGAGTTCCCAGCTGCCTGAAAGGATTTCAAGTACTGAAAACGCGCTCTGCGCGAATCGTCTCAGGGTCGCTTAGCAGAGGTTTTCTTTGAGGGAGGAGATATTTCAAGAAAGAACAAATGCTGAAATTATTCAAATGATTTCCCTGAAGGCAGGTTTATTTCGATATTTCTAGGCATTTCTCCTTTCTTTACTTCCTCTAAATCTCCTGGACACACACACACAAACCCCCCCACCTCACCCTTGAGTCCATCCAGGGAGAGCGGTTCTCCAGGCTCAGGGATAGAGAAGGCGGTTCTCCAGGCTCAGGGATAGAGAAGGGGCATCTGTGAGCACTGGCCGAGCTGGCCCTAAGTGTGTGCTTCCAGGGAACCCCACCAAGAACCCTGAGAGCCAGTAGCCTTGCAGGACTGGGAAGAAAGGCCAAGAGAGGGCCAAGTGGAAAGGGAGCAGCCAAAGGAGCCCCAAGGGCCCTTTCTTGGGGCGGAGTCCCAAGAGCTGGGGCCCAGACGCCGCCTAGACTGACCTACCAGGTGCCCAGTGTCCGTTTGGATGTGGCCACATTCTGGTAATTAATTGCCTCCAGCACGAGCTCTGTAGTCCTGGAACAAAAAGGCATAATTCAATTAGATCATCAACAGAGACATGGGGGCGGGGGTGGGGGTTGGGGGGGGTGCTTGTTTAAGAGGCCAACCTGAAAGACCGGCCAGGCCTACAGCCTGGGTTGGGAGTCCTTGCTGGCGCAGCCCAATGGGATCTGGCTCCTACTGGGGAGTGCAGCTGCTCCGTGGCGGCACAGGGGTCCAGGTGCTGTCCAGAGGCAGAGAGAGAGAGCCAAGGGGCTTAGTGAACCGCACTGCAGAAAGAGGCTATTTGGAACTGTTTTTCACCTGGGGTGGAAGGAATAAATCCTGACTCTTGAAACAAGTTACAAAGTAGTAATCTCTCCAGATCCTGCTAACTTACAACATCAGAAAACAAAGCCACCTCCCTGGAAGCAAACCACTCCTGGTAAGAGGGGAAAAGTTACGTTTTCCCGGAGGGCCTGCAGCTTCTCTGCCCACCCCCCCAATCCCTTAGGTTTTAAGCAGACTCTAGGAACAACTTTTGGGGGACAGGGTCCTTGGAAGTGCAGGGGTGGGGGGTGCTGGGAGGCTGTGTCTGAGAGCAGTGTCTTGGCTTTAGAAGGAACATGAACAGGAGAAAAAAAAGTTTTTCTTGCACACAGGCTGAAGTGAGGTTGACGATAGCGCTTGCTGGGCTGTTTTTCGCTGGCCTCTTGTTTTTGTATTTTTTGTTTGTTGTTTTCAGGTGAAGAGAGGAACCCCCTGGGCTGGGCAGGAAGGCAACATGAGGTCAGGGGTGGTGGTTCTTCTTGTTTTCCACTGGAACTGGGGCTCCCACGGTAGCCTTGGTGTACTGGGGTTTACATGTGTATTAGGCAGCGTAAATTAACCAATAAATCTCTTTTATGTGTCCCCCAGTTGTATGCGGTCTGGTCTAAATATCCACATGTCTATATGGGTAGGAATGTAACGGGATCCTGTCCCTCACATTGAGGTCAAATAGTAAATATGGAAAAATCTTCATTTTGATGCCCAAACCTGCAGCAATAAATAAAAATCCCTGCAACTGCTCACTGCCAAGCGGACAAAGCTGAGGAGCCTAACTTTTAGGACCCATCCTGGAGCAGGAGGGGGACAGACCATCCTGAGGTCGGTGGGGAAGGACTGGCTTGCTCTAGAGCCCAGAGCGCCGCTCAGGACACTTTCTCCGTGACCGCAGCCCCCCTGCCCCTGCCACACAAAGCAAGTACAAGCCCAAGCCCCGGGGCTCCCCGGGGCAGGGTGTGTGAGGTTCTTCCTGCACACATTTTCTGTGGCGGACACGAAATTACCCTAAATCGAAGACCTAGCAATTTTCTTTAAATCCAAGGGAAACACTGCGGTCTTTTCTTCTGTTTTGTATTTAGAAAAGACTTGCAATTTAACACTCGCAACATTTTAAAGACCCTTTAAACCCAGCAAGCGGATTTCCGTTCCACCAATGCTTCCTGATGTATTTCAATAAATGGATCTTTCAATCCAGGAAGGGAATTATTCCAAGACGCTGAGTTTGGAGCCCCACCTTCTCCCTGGTGTTTCTCCTTGAAAGGTGTCCTTGAAATTCATCCTTATTTGCCTCTCCCCCACCCCCCAGTCAATGACCTGCTCTTCACTTCCATATGTTTTTGTTTTTGCTTTTAAAAAGAATGCAAATTGCACTACTTTAAAAAAAATGCAGGGAGAAGAAAGGGGGGGGGCGGGGAGGGGGGAGAATGCATTTTAAACTCCTTTATTTTTTTTTATGCTAAAATAAAGTTCTTTGTTGACTTGGGGGTATGGGTAGCAAGCTGAATTATGGATCTCCGGATCTGGGGACCTGCAGACACACTAGCCAACTGCTCTCTGGGCTCTGAATTTTATGGACCCCATCCAAGTGTTCTCCACTGTCCCCACATTTCAAAAATATTTTCTAAGCCCCACATTCCTTTACAATCCAATACAGAATGCGTAGCTACTGTTAATCAACCTTATTATTATAATTATTTTTTTTAGAATCTCCTTTGCCTTTGTCTCCTGTACTCGGGCATATCACTACCCAATGAAAGGAAATGCAAACCAGACGGAAAGGAGACATTTTTATTGTACTTGTCAATCAAGACTGCAAGCAGAGCAATATACTTGAACTTCAGAGACATAGGCTGAAATAAACAGGGCTGATCTTGGAGAAGGCAAAAACAAGAGCTATGGGAATCCAGTTTGGGCTAAGAAAGGGAGCCTTTGACATACAGGAATAAAGTAAAAACCCTAGGTGGTGCACGGTGTTCCCAACTCTATCAGTAGTGTAAGGACCAGTAAGGTCTGGGCACAGGCTCCTGCCCAGCTGGGGTAGTGCCCCAAGAGTACCTGTTACTAATGAGTACCTATACTCCTTCCACCCAAAGGGGCAGCCGGTCACCTTCTAATTTCCCATTATCCTTTGCATCAAAATAGCCCTGTAGCTCTGGAGTGCCAGGGCAGGAATTAGGGAGAAAGGCAGAAATAAGTTTGACTTAACCTCAAATCCTTCCCCAGAGAGTCATACAGACCAGGGAAGGAGGAGGGATTTGGGGTGCCAAGCCCATCTTACCTTCAGAAGCACACATTTACCCAGGATGCTAAGTCCCTTCTAGCAGCTACATGCCCCGTTAGTTCTAAAACACAAATTATCTCCAGTCCAAGAAACTAGAGAGTCAGTAGCCTTGGCCTGTCCAAAGGCATCAGCTCATCCTTTTCTCTGTCTTGGAGCCAAGATCCTGCACCCAAGATGACAGGAAGGGTACCTTGGGACCATACCCTGGCTTCTGGTGGTTACTTTCCTGTCTATGTCAGGGGTCTTCATCGCCCATCCCTTTCTAGCTCTCGTTCCTTAGTTCAGGCCCTTTCCACCACCTCATCCTCCTCTTCTCCCTCATGGCAGAGGCTGCAGGGCCCGTAAGTCTCTCTTTTGCCTAAATGGAGAGAATTCCAGTTCTCTAAAACTAAAACTAAAAACACAAAAGTGCTCAGCCCTCGCTGCTCTCAAGGCAGAAGTGGCTGTTTTCTAATACAGACTTGCCTGGTGCCTTTGCATTTGGTTTGGGGTCATTCATTTGGTCCTTTCCAAGTGAGGAGATGGGAGGAAAGAGCTCTGATATTAAAACAAAGCACTG